ACAGAGAGAGAGAGAGAGAGAGAGAGAGAGAGAGAGAGAGAGAGAGAGAGAGAGAGAGAGAGAGGCAGGCATGCAGCGAAACCCCTAAACACAGAGAGACAGAGAGAGACACAGAGAGAGAGAGAGAGAGAGAGAGAGAGAGAGAGAGAGAGAGAGAGAGAGAGAGAGAGAGAGCAATCCAGGTTATTAACGAGGAGATAGGTGCGGGGATGTGTGCGTGCTGAGTCAGCAACACGTGGCGCTCTATTACGAAGCAAGTCGGACATCGATTTGGGACATGGCATTATATTTGTGCATATATACATTGTGAGTGATAATTCACTTTCACCACGGCCGTGGTTAAGCAACAACGACTGCCCGACAGCTGATACCCTGCGGTGGGCACCAACTACTGCCCGACAGCTGATACCCTGAGGTGGGCACCAACTACCGCCCTCAAGGTACCTGTGGCGAAAATCAATGCAGACTATCACTCACCCACACCAGATCGAAAACTCTACAGACTGTCGGTTCACACCCCATCACAATCACAAGCCAGCAAAACACCCACGAAACAAAGAAAGGTATGTCACAGCCAAAAAATACACTCCAGACACGCCGCTGGCACTAGAGGCACGGCATGGCCGCGTAGTGACGGCCCCGCCCACTGCCGCGCAACCTGACCGGATATTTATATATATATCGTCATATATATCATCACATAAATATGAGAGCGCAAAAGCGAAAAAAAGAAAAAAGAAAAAAGAATGAATTCGTTTTTTTATATTTTCTTTACAACTCCCCCTGTTCAGAACCTCTTGCGTACAAGGCCGCCCACGTGGATGTAGGTTGAGCATATATATATATAACAGTTTGTCACAGCCCCTCGTTGGTTGTCCTCTTCTCTCTCTCTGCCTACGGTTTACCGGGCAGTTCTGTTTGTGACGATATATATATATATATATATCTATATATCCACGTGGGCGGCCTTGTACGCAAGAGGTTCTGAACAGGGGGAGCTGTAAGAACATAAAAAAAACGAATTATTTTTTTCTTGTTTTCTTCTGTTTTTTCGCCTTTGCGCTCTGATATTCATGTGACGATGTAGATATATGTATTGTCACACTGTATATCGTCATCGAAACTGCCCACTGAACCGTAGGCAGAGAACGGATACGTGGGTAATACTGTATGATGATATATCTATGAAGAAGGGTCTTTTGACAGACTCCCTGTGCGTCGCCAATCCTCGTAATGAGTGAAAACAACTCGCCAAGACAGCGACAGTACATGCTCGAGCGTAAGATGTGAAATCATCCTCATTATTGTCGTCCTTTTATCACCATCATCACCATCATCACCATCATGATCGCAATCATCGCCATCATCATCACTGTTACCATCATCATCATCAATCATCATCATCTTCATAATCATGTTAATCATCATCATAACAATGAAGATCAAGATTACCATTGACCACGATCATCGGCATTTGGGCAGGATAATGCATTGGCACGTGTAGAGAGGGTTATTTGCGTAGTGATGGGGATGGTACACACAAGACACCGAGAAGGATGAAAGCAATTAAATGGAAAAAGGTAAGAAAGAGGAAACGACAACAGAAAACAACGACAGAATGAAGACAACCGCACTCAGTTCACCATCATCGTGCTTATGTTATTCTTCGTCATCATCCTGATTATAGTCGTCATCGTCCCATCATCCTGATTATCGTTGTCATTATCCCATCATCATCGTCATCATTCCCATCATTATTGTGATCTCCATGAATCTGATCATCAATCCCATCGTCATCATCCTCATCATCCTCACAATATCCTCCTCCTCCTCCTCCTCCTCCTCCTCCTCATCATCATCATCATCATCATCATCATCCTCGCATCATCATCATCATCATCATCATCATCATCATCATCATCATTGTCAGTGTACTCTCAACACGATCATGCGGCGATCGGCTGAGCGCGTTCTGATAGTGATAACCATAATGACAACTCTCTCTCTCTCTCTCTCTCTCTCTCTCTCTCTCTCTCTCTCTCTCTCTCTCTCTCTCTCTCTCTCTCACAC